GGGAAGTGACCTCTGAGCAGACTTGAGTGTAGTCAGAACGGCAGAGCACTTGGGTCAGGAAGCATCCTGGTCAGAGCCCTGGCCAGTGAGGAGGGGAGAGGTGATGAAGGCGGGGGCCCGCGGTACATCCGGGCCACAGGGAGGATTTAGGATTTTATTCAGGTGTCATGGAAAAGACACCCATCCATCAGAGGAGGGGCTGTCTTACTTTCTGATGGTTCAAGTTGGCTGCCTTGTGGGGAATTGATTGGCTGTGGGAGGCAAGGAATCTGGGGAGCTAGAAGGGTGAGACTGTGGCCTGCAGGCAGCTTTTTGGAGTTTAAGATTTCGGCAGCTGAGTTCCTCTGGGTGAAGGCGCTCACCAGCTACGGTGAGCAGACAGACACACCCACTCCACAATAGGCATTCTTTTCGTGGATAAAGACCCGACCCTGACCCTGACCCTTGGCTTCTGCTACACCCTTTCCTGTTTTTGACTCTGCACCCCACCAGCTTCATTATTCATTCTCCCCTTTTGTCCTTACCTTGTCTTTCAGATCTGATGCGCATTGTTGTCTGCCTGGCCAAGACTTCCTCTAGTTTTAGGTTTTCAGATATTTGTGTTGCAGTCTGATTTTCAGTTTTCAGAAAACGTCCATGGAGGCATAGTGTTACCCAGTCCAAACTTGTTCTGCTCCTGCCACAATAGGCAGGAGCAGAACAATAAATCAGGAGATGAGCTGTTGGGGCGAGAAGAACGACTATTGGGAAAGCCAGCAGACCCAGAAGATGGGGGACTAATGTCCTAGAGAACCATCTTCCCCCAGTCAGAATTCAGGCTCCTTTTATACTAAAAAGGGGACGGGGAGTGGTTGGTTGGTGCAAACTTCTTGGTGTCACAATCCTTTGGTCTCGTTGATCTTTGTTCAGTCACTCCTTTGTCCTGCCCACGTGGGCCAGGTCATGCTGTCCCTGTAAACCTCCAACAAGACAAGTCTTATCCTCTATTCTTCAACTTTTTATCTCTCTATGAATAGGAAAGTGTTATCCCCTTAAAGATCAGAGCCTGGAGAATGGGCTGTCCTGTCTATTTCAAGCTCTAGGCCACGTTCTCTTACAGAAGGTGCAGAACCAGCACGACTGAGCACCGGCAACAAAACGCAGGGTTGGGGCCAAAGGATTAGATCCAGTATGGAGTCAGGATGGTTCCTCCCTAGGACACTAGCACGTGAGATGGGCGAAGTGCAGTGCTCTGCCCGCTAACTATTCTCTGACCCCTTAAAGCAACCGTGAGACAGCTGCAGGTAACGCCCAGCCTCCCAGCTCACAGTGTGGAAAGCCCTGCCTTGCACCACGATGCTGCCTTCGGCAGTGGGCCCTCCCTGGGGTCCTCTCGGGTCACGCTGTCCCAGCTTAGCTGTACCTTCTTAATCCTTAGGCACCTCCAGCCAAAGGGCAGCCTGGGAACCTTCGGTTACAAAGTGGCGTGCTAGAGGCGCTCAGAACCATGAGGCGGGCGTGGTGTAGCTTCCCCTGTGTTAGTTTTACTTGCTGGCTGTTATTTAATTTATTACACTTGCACAGTAAATATGAATGTCATTCTAATTATAAGCCACGGGTTCTGTCTGTCCCACTCAGCAAATTTCTTATATTGACCCTACTTTAAAAATGTTAAATGTTTTTTATAACAAAAGAATGTAGATGCGTTATGGTTTAGATTAGAACATCTTTGGGAACTCTTTAAGGGAAACAACACAGGTCCCTCTGCTCTGCATTAGTAATTTTTTTTTTTCCCATTGAAGTAGAGTCTGTTTACAATGTTCTGTTAGTTTCTGGTGCAGCATAGTGTTTCAATTATATATTCATATATATATGTATATATATATACCTTTTTTATATTCTTTTTCATTATAGGTTATTACAAGATATGGCATATAGCTCCCTGTGCCTTGCAGTAGTAACTTTGTTG